GATCTCTTACAATTTATGTCATCCCCATAAGCTGAAAAATTAAATGATGTTTGGGACTGCTCTTTGTTTCTTCTGTTTGGTTGGGTTTCTTCTTCAGTTGGAGGGATCAGCGTCGTCATCAGAAGCTCACTTCAGATGTTCCGCCGCCGGCGTCGACCACCGGAAAAATAGAGTTGTGAAGGTGGGAGTAATTGCTGATAATAGCTCCAGGGTGGGCAGGGAACAGATTGTGGCCTTTCATATGGCTCTCCAAAATTATCCTTCATTTAATTCTTGCCATAAGCTGCACCTCCTCCTCCTCGATTCGCCGGACAACCCTGCACACGCAACCAGTACCGGTAACATTCATTCACATCCCCTCCACCCGATGTGATCTACATTATAAATATTGAAGTTGATTGGGTAAAAAATATTCTTATGTGTATTTCTTCGAAAATTATTAACGCTTAGAAACTCGTCTCATTATCAATTAATTTTGAGATAGAATTTCTTCAAAAATTATTAACGCTTAGAAACTCGTCTCATTATCAATTAATTTTGAGATAGAATTACTAATATTGATAATTTAGGCAAGTGAGTATAACTGAAAAATATACCAAAAATGCTTAATTATAAAACTAGCTCAACAACGATGTTAACATAACTAATTCCTAATAATAAACTGTATTAGTAAATTTATCATCCTCAACATTGAATTGAACTTGACTGTCCAAACATTGGCAGCCTTGAATGTAACCTAGTTAGGTTTAGATCAGCCTTTGAACTTGAACTTCAAGTCCGACTATTTAATTGACAAAAAAATTTGTCATATTTACAAAACTATACCTTTGTTATATTGCAAATATGAAAAATATTCTTATTATCCATTATTTTACTATTTCTACCATTGGTTTCTTGGAATACTATATTTGCTATTATTTTAGCTCATTTTGCTAGTTATGCAAGCAACCGTTTTTTATTTTAATTTGTATATGGTTGGTCTCCCAAAATTCTGCGCAAATCTCTTTTTTTATTTTCCTAGAACCTTGATGAAAGTACTAATGATCTGGTCAAAGATTTGAATCATTCTCCCCGCATTTGAAATATGATGGTAAATTAACAACTACATTGTTTTCTAGTTTATACCAATTCAAAGTAAAATTATAATTGCCAATCTCTATCTTTTCAGGGGTGTGTAATATTCTCATAGTAAATGGTAATTTAACCAAGATTATTATTTACACATTTTTCCATTTCAGCTTTGGATCTGATTAGCAGCAAAAAAGTGAGCGCCGCCATTCTTGGGACAGATACTTATATTTCCGAGTTTGAAAAAAGCAGTATAAATATCCCCACGATATCACTCCCAGTTGCTGCGGCTTATTCCCTTAATCCTCCTCTAATCTCACCGCCCTCCTTCATTCAGATGGCTCACGACATGTCGTATCACACGCAGTGCGCAGCCGCCATCGTCGGCCACTTTAAGTGGCGCAAAGTTACTGTAATCTACGAGAACAAGAACGACATGTCGACGAAAAACATTGAGACTCTGATTCTCCTCTCTAACTCACTTCGAGATTTCAACGCAGAGATTGAGCAAATCTCAGCTTTCTCTTCATCATTTACGGAAGCTATGATTGAGGAGAAGCTTAAAGGCCTTGCGGGTCGCGAGAGAACAAATTACAAGGTCTTCATAGTGATGCAATTTTCCATGGAGTTGGCAAAAATTCTTTTTCATAAAGCAAATAAAATGAACATGATGGATCAGAATGGATATTTTTGGATTGTTGGAGACGAGATATCAAGTCTTCTAGATTCTTTGGGTATGTCTAATTTCCATAACATGCAGGGCGTCATTGGTTTTCGAACTTATTTTGACCATTCCAAAGATTCTTTCAAGCAATTCAGAAGAAAATTCCGTAGGAAATATATTTCTGAATATCATCAAGAGGATGAGGATGAGGAGGAGAATATTGCAGAGCCCAGCATCTTTGGGCTTCGAGCTTATGATGCATCATGGGCCCTGGCCCAAGCCATGCTCAAACTGCAAGGAAATTTTAGTAGCAAACAACTGTTGAAGGAAATTTTAGGCACTGAATTTGAAGGGCTTAGCGGGAAGATAGGATTTGATCAGAAGAATGGTATGTTAATGCAAGCGCCAACTTTTGAAATCATTTATGTGGTGGGTAAGAGCTACAAAGAGGTGGCATTTTGGAAACAAAATGTTGGATTTTTCAATAGCTTGAATGAAGATCATGAAGAGATCAATAATGGGGTTGTGGATTTGTCAAGATTGGTTTACTGGGGAGGGAGAGGACATAGTAGAGGTCTAGAAGAAGGGAGGATTAGTAGTCCTGATTATGGAGTTGGCAGAACATTAAGAATTGGTGTTCCAGCCAATAATACGTTTCATGAATTTGTGAAGGTATCGTACGACCACATTAATGGAATTTACATCTCTGGATTTTCCATTACTGTGTTTGAAGCTGTCGTCAAGAACCTGCCTTATCCATTGTCCTACAAGTTGGTCCCCTTCAATGGCTCTTATGACGGATTGGTAAACCAAGTCTACACAAAGGTAAATTTAATCTTAAACTTTTAGGTTCATTTGTGATTTAATTATGTTAAAGCTGGGAGTAGAATTAGAACTAAGTCTGATATGTTCGAACTTCTATACTGTCATTTTCTTCCCATTTAATATTGATTTCTACTTGTAAGTGAGTGATGAGTAGGAGTTGTACGCTAACCAAAGGCTTCTTAATTATTAGGGTTTGGATGGCGGGGTGGGAGATATAGGAATATTTGCGGACCGATTTGAATATGTGGATTTCTCACAGCCATATCTGGTGTCTGGGCTTATGATGATAGTGAGAGAGGAGAAAGAGAATTGGAAAGAATTATGGGTATTCATGAAAACATTTACGATGACAATGTGGATAATATTGCCATTGCTGCATATATTCATAATCTCCGTGGTCTGGCTGGTTAGGGAAGAAGATAGCGAAGCGCCTTTGACATCAGGATTCGGAAACATGCTCTGGTTTGCAATAGCCGTCATTTTTTACGCACAAAGTAAGATTTTAAGGTTTCCTTTAATAACTGTTCTTGTCTTTTCTTTCTTCAGTCAAACAAAATATAATTGAATTTGGTAACTCTTTATTTATATATTGTTGTTTCTTTAGAGGGAAACATGTTTCGTAACGTGTTCTATCCTCTAAAATTTTAAATTCAAAAGAGTAAAAATTTTATATGAAAATTAATCTATATTTTGGAAAGAAACAAGAATCTTGATTTTATTATTTTTAAAACTTTTACACAATCTTAAAAATATTTATTAAAAATGAGAAAAAAAATATAGAACAGTTATCAAATACTTATGTTTTTCCACCGTTAGAAATAAAAGAGACCAGCAGATAGACTCTAAGTTATATGGTTTCTTCTCATTAACAAACAAAAGAGAAAAAGTGTCAAGAACAATGGTACTTATATTGTCCGCTCTAAGCATAATACTCGTGAAACCCAAAAGACCTTATACCGAGATAATTTTCTTCTCCTATATACCACGCTCTCTTCCCTGACAAGGGACTTTGTTGCACTCCTTATAAATCCAATAGTAGGTACGGTTTTATACTATATTAAACTTGTGTTATGGAGTGAAATTTCTGTTTTCAGGAGAACAAGTAAACGGTGGATTGGCTCGGCTGGTGCTAGGGCCATGGTTGTTCGTAATTCTCGTGGTAACCTCAAGTTTCACAGCGAGTTTAACATCAATGATGACGGTTTCAAGATTTGGGCCATCAGTGGTAGACATCGAAACATTGAGGCAGACAAACGCAAGTGTGGGATGCAACTTTCACTCTTTCATAATGCGATATCTGACCAATGTGTTGCATATTCCTCTCGATAACATTAAGACCATCGTGGGGATTGATGATTATCCAAAGGCATTCGACCGTGGAGATATCAAAGCAGCTTTCTTCATAACTCCCCATGCCAAAGTCTTTCTTGCTAAGTACTGCAAAGGCTACACCACTGCTGCTACTTTCGATCTGGGTGGCATTGGCTTTGTAAGTAGTTCTCAATCTCTACTTTATCATCTCCTTATAAACGCTAATCAACCAGAATATTATTCACTTTTGGATGGGATAGAATTTAAATACCTGCTAAAATATATGTTTTAGCTTATAATATTTAGGTTTTTTTTTTTGTTTTGTCCCTATTGTTTAACAAGTTTCGATTTAGTTCTTTCGTGTCTGGACATTTTTATACATAGACTCTCGGTGAATGTTAAAATTAGTTGATGAAAAACTTACCATAATAAAGTTAACAAAATTGACCATACCGAAATATAGAGAAAAAAATGTCATCAAGACATAAAGAAAACTCTAAATTTCTATAAATTTCTTTAAAATTTTAAATAAGGAATTAGAAATTTTGTATTCTTAGATGATTTTTTCCAATCCTCAACTAAATCTCCACCAAATTCCACCAAATTCATCATTTGTAAGTTTATCATTAACCAATTTTAACATTCATCGACTCATAAAGAACTAAATTGAAAAATGTTAAAACAAAAGAGACTAAATTAAAAAATATCTAAACATTAGGGACTAAAACATATCTTTAGTCTAGCCTCTTCTTATTTGTAATTATAACATTTCTATCCTTCTCTAAATGGTAGTGTTTCCTCTCACCTGTTACCCTTTAAATCAAATGGTACCTATATCTTTAGCCTAAAAACTCTATTTTAAACCTTTTTTTTTTTTTGGAAAATGATACCCACTTCGTTGAAAATGTGTGTGAGAAACATACACAAAAATAGATGCTAAAAGAAAGGACTCCAATTTAGCGAAATGGTAGAGAAATCATAATTACAAAAGGGAAAAAATGTCAAACACCCAAGAGGATGCGGAGACTTTTGATATCTTCCCAAAAGTTGATAGAAAGTTCTGAATTTATCCATAAAATAACGATTGTTCCTTTCAAGTCAAACATTCCATAAAATATTTTAAACTGTTGTTAAAAATAACGAGGGTTTATAATAGACATGAACTACTTTTCCCTCAGTGCTAAAAGAACCACGATCTTGAAGGGGACAAGTTTAAGAATCACAAGAGAGTTTATAATAGACATAAACTACTTCTCACTTCCAAATCGTTTTTAGATCAAAGTCTCATTGTTACCAGAGAGTAGATAAATTTTGAACCTACATCCAATGGTTAGAATGGATACATTGTTTATGGGAAGGGAGAAAGAGTAGCTCTTATATTTACAGTTGATTATTATATATGTTGCAATATTGCTTGCAGGCTTTTCCAAAAGGTTCAACTCTGGCTGCGGACGTATCTACATCAATCATTGAGCTGATAGAGAGAAGAGAGATGCCACAGCTACAAACAATGTTGCTCTCCACCTTCAATTGCTCTTCATCTGGCAAGGTTGATGTTGATGCCTCAACTTTGGGGCCAGGGCCTTTCATGGGTTTGTTCATCATTTCAGCAAGTATTGCTGTACTCTGTGCTGCTATAAAACTAGTTAAAAGAAGGTTGGGCAATGGCGCCCATGCACAAGTCCAACCCATGGGTGAGACAAACCCGGTAATTGGATTAGAACTGGTGGACGCTAGGACAATAAACGAGAATGTTGCGAACCGACCTTATCCTCTATAAGAATTCAAGACATAATTAAAAATTTAATTACATGATTGTTGTTGTAATCTAAATTTAATTTCTCTTTACCACTTATCTTTCATCTCTAGAATTTTCCTATATCTCTTACTTTTCTCTCTCTTCTTAACTTTTCTTAGATATATGTATATCTCTAACTTTTCTCTCTCTTCTTAACTTTTCTTAGATATATGTCCAATTATTGATCGTTGACTTTTTTTAGTAGGTAAGAGTGGAAGATCGAACTTAGAACCTCTTGATTGGATATATATATCAACTACCACTGTATTATGTTCACTTTGACTATTGATCCTTGTCTTTATTGTACTTAAGATAGGAGACGTTGACAAAACAAGTTCAATTAATTGCTCTAATATAACAACATTTTGAATTTACAAAGGTTCAATCAAAAGACGAAATGAAACTGTAATTGAAGATTGAAATGACGATGGACGTCAAACAATAAATGAGAACATTACTAATTGTGACCTTTTATCTCTAAGGAAAATGCAATATCTAATCACAAATTTACATAATCGTTTTTTTTTTAAATGATAACACACCATTCATTAAAAAGAGTACGTGAGAAACATAATAATTATTTTTTTAGTACAATATGTAGGAGTGGGAGGTCGAACTCACAAAATCTTGGTTGGAGATATATGTCAATTAACACTAAGCTATGTTCGTTTTGGCCATAATAGTTATTTAATTTTAATCGTTTTAGATCATTCATATGACGTCGGATTAGTGTCTACATTATAAATCTTTATATCTAATCGTCTTTTTCGTATTTGTCTAAAGAAAATCTTCATTATAATTTTAATTTCCCTTTACAATTTATCTTTGAGTTCTCCCTCTAACTTTTATAGATGCAAACAAACCACAAAATTGCTAGCGAGGAATTTGTTAAAAGTTAAAAATACACATCACACATGAAAATTTAGCCTAAAGGGGAAAATGTTAATTTCTTAAAAGTATAAATAATTTAATTCTAAAATATATTTTCAAATTTTATTTTAAAATTCTAATATAACTAACCTTATATATATGTTTTTTTCGTTAAAATTTTGGGGCAGCAATCACTAGATGCGTTCCATTAGCCTAGCTAATAAGTTAGCATAAATTTCAAGACATAAATTAATCCATTCCAAAATATCATTAAAGATATTAAAAAAATGCACAGACGAAACGTGTTGAAAACAAATCATAAGAATTAAGAATCATATTTTTTTTTTGTTTCTAAAAAAAATTGATTTTTTTTATCTACATAACTCATTAAGTTAAAGAATACATTTTTATATGGTAACATTATTTGTATTTATATTTCATTTCACTTTATGCCTCTTTTAAATCAGATTGAAAAATGTTCAAGGCGAGGTTCTTCAAAATTTAGCCCTAGTGGCAAATTGTTTATTTTAAACAAAGCAAAAACTGATCGGAATAAAAATATGTCTTCCAAATAATTAAGATAAATACAAACATGTCCAGTAAACTATTTATTATTCCTATTCTCTAAAATAAATTAAAGAAAGTAAATTTTATATGAAAACTAATTTTTAAATTAAATATTTAAATTGTTTATTATGGATTTATTATGTATTTTATAAGTCAAAAATGATTTTTTTTATATGTGTGAGTGTTCGTACCTCCATTAATTTCATGGGGCAACCGTCTTATCCTAATTTCTTAGATAGGTGGTCATCATGTGATTTGAATTCATTATTTCTAAATCCGTTTTATTTAGCTTGACCTCTTTGGACCAGTGAGTTAAAATGATAAAATAATACTTTTATTTATATTTTAGAAAAATTGAAAATAGGAGAAAAAGAAACAAGAAGCTCGATTTTTAAATTTTAGAAACGAAATGAAAATAATTACCAAATGCATGTGGGATAAACAATAAACAAGAAATTGTAATATTACCAAAAACACCATTAACTTCTTAAACCAATTATATACCATGGTTTTAAACTACGCAAATTCATCTCAAAGGTTTCATAAATTCCAAGCAAATCTTCAGAGGTAATTCAAACTCTGATCCTATCAAAAGTCATTTGAATATTTGTAAATTATGAATTCTAATTCTAACGAGCCAAGAAAAATAAACAATTGATCAAGTCTCGTATCGTTACAAGAAGCAGGATATTCCATTGAATATCCTTTCGCGAAACTCTGGTGTTTTTTCTTTGATGCACATACCTACCTATAATATAAATACCATATTATATATAAATTTATA